GCCACAAGGTACAGGAAAATGTTAAGCTGTGCCACCAGAATTCAGTGAGCAGCTCCCAGATTCTGGGAGACTTTGCTGAGAAATGAGTCTGTTTCTTCCACCGTCATAAACAGTGGCATCAGAGAACAGAATCAGCTGTACTTAAAAACCGTGGCAGCAGGCTTAGTGTAAGGGAGGAACAAGACCACAGAGGCCAGTTCCAGTTGCTAGCATTGCTGGATCTTCTGTCTGTCTGTCTGTCTGTCTGTCTTTCTCTTTCCATGGGTCTGCAGAAGTGGCTCTGTAGAGATGAACGTGGACAAGGTATGGGATGGTACTGAAGATTAACCAAGGGACTTGGGGGGGGGGGAGGCAGGCAGCAAAACAGCCCAGCTGGTAAAGATGCTCGCCCCAAAAGCCTGGTGACCTGAGTTCAGTCCATGTAAAGCCTTCACATGTTGTGACGTGTGTCTTTACACCATACACACAATGATTACAAATACAGATTAAAGTGTTAAAACTAGGTAACGTGAAGGCTGCTCCGTTGTAAAGTACTTGCCGTACCAGCGTTAGGATCTGAGTGTGGGGCCCCCGGACACATGGAAAGCCAGCACAGTGGTTTGTACCTGTAATCCCAGTGCTCAGGAAGCAGAGAAAGGAGGGGCCCTCTGGCCAGGCTGCGAGCTGATGAAGCGGTGAACTCCCAGAACCCAGTTAAGTCTGCGTTTCTTTGTATCCAGAGACTGAAATGGCTCTCTGGCAGGCTCTGAAGAGATTTAAACTTGGGTGAACTTTCTCTCTCTGGGGCTCTGCCTCACTTTATAAAGGCCATTTTGCTGACACACGCTAATCTAACACTTGACTGCCAATTGACCGTCGGAGACCCTGTCCCCAGAACTAAGGTGGAGAGCGACAGAAGTAGACTTTGATGTCAGACTCTGCCCTGCTTCCTATGTACAGACATGCACAGGCACATCCACGAGCACGTATACATAGATACAGTTCTGAGCACAGAAGGATTAAGGCGTGGCTTTCCACATAACAGTGGTATTTCAGTTAAAAATAGCTTTTTGGGAGGATAAATGGCAGCATTTTCAGATTAAATTACTTGTTTGGAAGTTTCTTCAAGTATTGGGGTGGGACATGGGGTGGGGATATGGAAGAAATGTGATTTTGGGGGTGGGGAATTACTGAAGCTGGCGTAGTAAACACTTGCCTCTCTTTTTGTATATGTTTAAAATTTACCAAAGGGATATTTTTTCAAATGACACAAATTATCCAATAACATAAGGCCTCCATAATATCAGGTAATTCCTTTAAAATGAACAAATTAAATGCATCAGTGTTTCCAAGATTTTTCCATTTCAAATCCCAAGTGTAAATTATAGAACTATGGATTTAAAGGACAGTGGGGACATGACATATTAAACATGATGCATGATTGAGACACCAAACATACTCAGATTTTTCTGTATGTGTGTTTATTTACCTTTAATATTTGCTTCTCTATTCTCATCCTTTGGACTGACAGTAACCTACCAAGGAGACAGTTAAGCGGTCCCACACATTTTGGCATCAGTTTCCAAGCAACTGTCGATGCTGCCTTCTCAGCTGACCATGGATTCTTAATGACCAACAAGACCCTTAGCTGAGATGCCAGCTGGGCCTTTGCCCAGGACACAGAAAAAAAGGCTTCTAGAGTGTTTTTTGGTGTTGCTATGGCAGAGCTCGCCAAAGGAGGTCTGTGGGTTAACGTCCTGTCATTACCTATTTTTTTTCTTTTTATTAATTCCTGGAAGTTGGAATCCCCACAAGGAGGACAAGCAGTGACTTCTAGAGCTTCAGCTAAGTCTGCGTTTCTTCATAGTCAGCAAGAGACTGAAATGGCTTCCCTGGCTGGCTCTGAAGAGGTTTAAACTTTGGCGAGCGTTCAATCTCTTCTAGCGCTCTGCCCCACTCAGCAAAGACAATCCCCCTGACAAATGCTAACCTAACACTTGATCCACGAGCGTTACAACTCATTAGTGCATCTGAGTCGGGTCCGTGGGTGAAGAGATTTGATGGAAAAGATCTCTGGTCAGACAGGGGCTTAGGACATATATTACCTCCTGAAACTCGGGCTTCACTGCAAATATTTCGTTGTGAATACATCTTGCTCAGTGTCGTGGATATACGCGTATGAAAATGTATAGCACCGTGTACAATAAAAAATGAAATATTTTGAAGAAAGAATTTTCTCATAGTGGATTTCTAATAAAAATCTGGAGAGCTGCCATTTCAGTATGATTTGGGGAAGTCCGTAAGAATCCAGCACATGGACAATGGCAACTGTTAATTATAAACTCAGGCTAAAGAGATGGGCTTGGGAAAAAACAGACATCGAAACACAGCATGTGTTAAAACAAATTTTAAAGGCAAAAAAATAATGTGGCTTTGTGCTGCATGGTTTGATGTCAACTTGATGTAAACTAAAGTCATCCGAGAGGAGGGAACCTCAGTTGAGAAAAGGCCTCCATAAGATCTAACTGTAGGCAAGAATGTTGGGCATTTTAATTAGTAACTCCTGGCGGAGGGTCCAGCCCACTGTGGGTGGGGCTGTGCCTGGTGGGCCTGGTTTCATAAGAAAGTTGACTGAGCAAGTCATGGGGAGCAAGCCAGTAAGCAGTGTTCCTCCATGGCTTCCGCACCAGCTCCTGCCTCCAGGTTCCTGCCCTGACTCCTTTTGGTGATGGCGAAGTGCAAGCATGACCCCTTTCCTCTCCAGTGTGCTCTGAGTCGCAGTGCTTCATCACAGCAAGAGAAACCCTGACTAAGACAGCTGCAGAACACTGATTTCGAAGTCCTGACCTTGTCTACCTGTTCATTTCACTGTCCCGGTCACTTAGGCACTTAGCATTGGAACCAGAATAGAAGATGGGTTGTGTGTCCCTTTCTGATGCAGGGCTTTATTTACAACATGACCCAAAATCTTATGTAGAGTCACTGACCAAATATATTGCATAGCACTGTAGAAGGTAGCTTGATGACATATTTTCTTCCTAGCCCAGCTTACCCTCCCAAATCACTTAGCCTTTCTTTCTTTCTTTCTTTCTTTCTTTCTTTCTTTCTTTCTTGTTTTGTTTTTCCTGCTCCCTGCTTTCTCTCCATAGCCTGTGGCTTAAAGGTCACAATCCTATCTTCAAAATACCAAATGGAAGCAATTTAAAGAAGGAAGGGTTTATTTGGGCTCGTGGTTTAGGAAGACACAGTTCCTTGGCTACGTAAGGCCTGGCAGCAAGATCGTGTGTCAGCTGATCACATGGCACCCACAGCCAGGAGCCAGTGATGAATGCTGTACTCAGCTCACTTTCTCTTTTTAATCAGTTTAGGACTCCTTCTTTGGTTGGGCTTTGCCAGCTTAGTCTGTGTTTGTCTGGTTACGAAGTTCACAGCACGCAGTATACATATATCCTCTCTCTCTCTTTGGTTTTGTGAGTCTGGGTCTTTCTCTATAGTCCTGGCTGTCCTGGAACTCACTCTGTAGACTAGGCTGTACTCAAACTCACATAGATTCTCCTACCTCTGCCTCTTGAGTGCTGAAATTAAAGGTGTGTGCCACCGCACCTGGCTCTTCTTTATAGGGCCATGCCATTAAACACTTTTTTTTTTTTTTTTTTTTTTTTTTGGTTTTTCGAGACAGAGTTTCTCTGTAGTGTTGGTGCCTGTCCTGGGACTAGCGCTTGTAGACCAGGCTGGCCTCAAACCCACAGAGATCCTTCTGTCTTTGCGTCTTTGCCTCCCGAGTGCTGGGATTAAAGGTGTGCGCCTCCACTGCCGGGCACCATTTGTTAAGCTAACTTTTTTTGGGGTCTCTGAGTGCATCAGGTTAATGTCAGTTATCACCTTGGCCAATTAACATGTGACAAAGCAGGCCTCATCCTCTAGTCTTATGGAAGAGTCAAAGCTCCTGACATCTTGGCTAGTCCTCTTCCTTGTAGGTCTGTTCAAACATTTTGCAGGTATAATGCACTCTTTATGGGAAGGAGATGAGATTAAAAGAGGAAGTGCTAACATGTTGGATCCTTAATGCTATTATATTTTGCATGTGTGTGTGAATTTGTGTGCATGGGTGTTTCTGTGTGTGTGTGCATGTGTGTGTGTGTGCGTGTGTGTGTGTGCATGTGTGTGTGCATGTGTGTGCGTGCACGCGTGTGTGTATGTGTGTGTGCATGTGTGTGCATGTGTGTGTGCGTGTGCGCGCGCGTATGTGTATGTGTGTGTGCATGTGTGTGTGCGTGTGTGTGTGTGCATGTGTGTGTGTGCATGTGTGTGTGTGCGTGTGTGTGTGTGTGTGTGTGTGTGTGTGAAGGCTCAAAGTTGACATTAGAAATCTTAGTCAATTGTCCTCTACTATATTTATTGAAGCAGAGTTTGTTTCTGAACCCAGAGTTTGCGATTGTGGCTAGTCTCTCATAACAGCTTAGACCAGGGATTCCCTGCTACTGTCGCCAGAGTGTTGGGAATATTGGCAGCCACCATACCTGCTTGGCTTTTGCATGGTTGCTGGAGATCCCAACTCCAGTCCTCACACACAGAAGCTGGAAATGACCTTTATTTTCCGTGGGGGTGGGGCACTCCGGAGCACACATAGAGAGGTCAGGCCACTTGAGCAAGCTGGCCCTTTCCTTCCCCACGGGGGGTTCTGGAGATCTGACTCAGTCATCAGTTTGGCAGCAAGGGTTTTAACCTGCTGAGCCACTTTGCCATTCCTCCTAATGCCATTCTTAGCAGACAGGGCATCCCCACAGCTGCCCCATGTTGCTAGAGCATCCTGTAGCCCTAGTCCTCTGGTCAATCAAAAACTCAGTTCCAGGTCATTGCCGTCTCCACTGCAGCACCCAAAGTAAGACCCGAGAGAGAGAATCCCCTCTTCAAATTAGAGACCAGGCTTGTTTCTGTGGAAGTCAACTCAGATTTAAAAAAAAAAAAAAAAGGAAAATCTTCACACTGAGGAGGTTATTTGTCTGTTTCTTGCGGTACAGGTTTCTTGCGTTGACTCCGTGGAGAGTTTATCATCTCATTTCCGTCATGCTGCTTGGGCGTGTGATCATGCAGATCATCAAGGACATGGTTCTGTCTAGGACAAGAGGTAAGAACACTCAGGCTTAACTCTGGTGCCTAGTTTTTGTGCCGACATATTGACCCTTTGAACAGGAGGCTCATGCAGACATCGCTTTCTTCACTTCCCTTGTTCTCCGTCCTTCCCTGCCTTCCTCTGGGCTTCTGAGATGCGGCCTTGCTCTGTACCCAGGCTGGTCTGGAACTCTCAGTGGTCCTCTTGTATTAGTTTGCTGAGTGCTAGGATTATAGGAATGAGGCAACATATAGTCTGGGTTATACACACATGCATACACACAGGCATGCACGCGCGCACGTGCACACACACACAGAGACACACTCATGAACGCATGTGCACACACACACACACTTCAGTGCTGGGGTTTGAACCCGGGGCCTTGCACATGTTAGGCAACTGATGTACCACTGGACTACATCCCAGCCTCTAATGTATTTCATGATTCTGTCTCTTGTCAGAGCAGGTAAACGGTCCACGTGTGCTGGACTTTTCCTTGGATTTAAGCTACTTGTCATAGTAGGGTGACATTTAAGTGGGCTGCTGTGACAACAACAGTGAGATATTTACTCCGCCCTACAAGTTCACACTGGGCCACTGGGAAATGAGCATGTTTATGGACAGCTTCCTTTCACCTCAGTGAAGGAAAGCAATGAGCTTAAAATGACTGAAAATTGCATAAAAGTTTTGAATAATTAATGATGTTGAAAAGAGAATCAAGTGTAAACACTACATTTAAAAGTGAGAGTTTGGATTATTTTTAATGATTGATGAGTGTCTTTAGGAGCTGTGTAACTATAGTCAAACCTCTTGAATCACTTTTAATGATTGATTAGTGATTTAGGAGCTAAGTAACTATATTCAAACTGGAGTGAAGCTTTTCTATGCCTCTTCTGCTAATGTTTGAAGTAGTTTTTGTAAATGGGCAAAAATCTCCTCTAGATATAATGTGCCCTGTGAGTCTACATGTATTAAGATCAATTTGATTGAAATCACAAAGAGGAGGCTTTGGTTAGAGTCCATATGGACTGCCATGCATAGGAGCTGCCTGATTCCCTGTCATAGGGGTATTTTATGAAAGAGACATCATCACTCAAATAAGACTTGAGCACCTGATCTGTGATTTTACCAGCGTGGTGTTCATGGATCAGTTTTAAAGCCGGCTCATGTGTAAGTCTGCCCAGTTTTAAAACCAAACTACCACAGAAACAATTTTTAGAAAGATTGTTTTACATTGGTGTGTTCAGGTTTGGAGGTAATACTTAGCCTTGCTGGGAAGATAAATTCATTTTACTCTAGTACAGGTATTTTACAAATCCATGAATTTAATTTAAATTACATTCATACATATATGTACACACACACACGCACACGTAAAAGGAGACTGCACTTTGGTTTCCCGGCCACCCAGTGTTGAAATACGGAGCGGCGGGCTGTGTCCTGCCACCCGGCTAGCTTTACCCGAAATAATTACACGGAAACTGTATTCTTTTAAACACTGCCTGACCCATTAGTTTCAGTTTCTTATTGGCTAGCTTTTACATATTGATCTAACCCATTTCTATTAATCTGTATAGCCCACGAGCTGGCTTACCAGGAATGATCTTAACCTGCGTCTATCTGGAGTGGGAGAATCATGGCGACTCACTGACTCAGCTTCTTTCTCCCAGCATTCCGTTCTGTTTACTCCGCCTACCTAAGGGTTGGCCTATCAAATGGGTCTAGGCAGTTTCTTTATTAATAAGAAATCACTCCCACATCAACCCAGACCTGAATAATCACACAGAAAATATATTAATTACAACACTGTTTGGCTCATGACTCAGCTGTATTTCTGGCTAGCTCTTATATCTTAAATTAACCCATTTCTATTATTTTCTGTTTTACCATGAGGCTTGGGTTTGTTACCTCTTGCTTCTTAGGCAGCTACACGATATCTTCCTGACTCCGTCTTCTTTCCTCCTCCATCTCTGCTTGGATTTCCTGCCTTGTTATAGTCTTCCCTGTGTAGGTCAAAGCAGCTTCTTTATTAACCAATGGTAATAAAACATATTCACAGCATACAGAAGGGAATCCCACATCACATATATACACACACCCTCTTCTCCCTCTCTCCCTTTTTCTTCCCTTTCCCACTTCCCCCTTCAGAGAGGAGGCACCTAATTCCCTCACTTTCAACCCAACAGCATTTGCTGTTGTATCCCAGCTACACTGAGACTTCTCGAGGCCCTGGAAAGCCCTGCATTTCTGCCTTGATTTTTAGCCAGTAGAGGAAGACTCTGTTTTCCTGAACGTATTTTGTGACACGTTCTTTTCTGAGGAGAATGAGAGAAGACAGAACCATTCGCAGGTGTGTCCAGCAGCCTTTAGAGCCAGCAGACCGCTCAGGAAGCCGAGCATCTTAGTATTTTCTGCTGTATCCTCACTTTGCCCATCAATTAGGGACAAGTTAAAAAGAACGGACGAATGAGTAGAGGGGCACGAACTGGAGGACTTGGCTTCTGAGTGCAGGGCCAGAGTTGAAAACGGGGCTTTTTGGAGTCCTCCGGCTTTATTGCTCTAGACCCTCCAAAGTCGTCATTTTTCAGTTTAACCAGCCGTTTTTGTGGTTGCGCAGTGGAGAACTTATTTATTTGCAAACAATATCCTTGAAAACCTTCTACAGGCAAAACTGTTTTGGAAAACCTTCATGAGGTGGAGTTGACGTCTACCAGCCTGGAGACCCTCTAACTCTTAGGTCGGGGCTGACAAAGCCGGCCTGTAACTCCAGCTGCTTGGGGCTCAGGCAGGAGGATCAGAAGTTTGAGGCCTGCCTGGGCTGGAGAGGAAGTGCAAAGCCACAGTGAGGCTGCTGATTGAGATCCTGTCTTAAAATAAAAAAGGGGATCTAGCTCAGCAGTGCACTGTTACCAACAAGCTCAGGCCTCGGGTCTGGTCCCCAGGAGTGCAAAAACCAAGGGTGACAAATAAGGAATAGTTCTTGAGCTAGTTCATGTCCATTCCTAGCTACGGAGAAGCCACACCATAGATGCTTTCCTGTGGCTGTGCTACCCCAATAGTAGACAGTCCTTCTGACATCAGCAGGTCCACATTCGTCCTGGGGGCTCTAGGGACAGACCCTTCCTGCTCTCTGCCTGACTTGGATTGGTGGCGTTGCCTTGTGGCTTTGCAACCCATCATCACTGTCCCAGCCTCCATGACCACATCAGCTTCTCTTGTGCTTACGTCGGACCTCCCTCCGTGCTCGCTACCAAGAACGCTTGTGATTGTAACTGGTGCCACCGGGATGACCGAGAGTCTTCTCTGTTCTTAGCCAGGTGGCACCTGTCAAGTCCCCTTTTCTCTGTGAAGCAGTGCTCACGGATGCTCAGCCTACTTTGATGACTGAGCCACTTGATTCTGTAATAGCAGAGAGCCCACACTCACACCGCATACTTGAATTCGGTTCAGGTAAAAGGCTACAGTGAGTGAACAGCCCATCCAGGGACAGTCTCCCTGTTTAGCTGGTACAGTTAGCACATCTGTCTTCTCAACAGCCAGACTACGTTGAGCGTCTTTTGTGCCAAGGATAGTTAGAAGCACCAGATTCTAACGGGGATGCCTTCAGGCTGGCCTCTGCCCTCACCCTCTGCAACAGGCCCATCTTTCTCTCAGGGTTTTCACTGAATGATGTTGTTCTGAACAGAGCATTTCTATACATGAAAAAAGAAGGAAAAAAAAGATAGACTTCCTTCTGCTGCTTTCCCAGAACTCCCCAGTCACTGGCTGGAGAGACCCTAGGGCCTTCTTTGGCCTCCTTTACAAAGACTCAATTGAGCTGCATGAATAGCTGGCTGGAGACAGCAGCAGGGTTTCCAACCCCCGACAGTGCTGGCTGCACTAGGCTGCTCTCAGGAACTTCGTTGCAGGATCTCTGTGGAGGCTTCTGTGGTAGTGCCATAGCTCTGGCCAGAGCTGTCAGTCATTCTTAGAAGCCCCTCTTAATGCTGAAAACAGCAGCCAGCCAAGTGAAGCCTTGGTCAGCAGAGCTTTCTGGGACCTTCTGTCTCATTCCCTCTCTCGTCTGCCCACTTTCCACATTCTTGGCTAGAGATACGGACCTTGCCGGTTATGAGCTTAGCTCTTCCCTCCCCGCAAATATATTTTCACAACACTTCCCACATTTTGTGTGTGCATTGCTGAATAGCTGATTGTGACCTTTTTCATCTCAGGAGACAAGCGCTCTACCCCCACAGGAAAGCAAGCAAACCCCACCCTGTCTCCTTTCTGCTCCCCAGCATTCTCTCTGGCACACTCAGGTACTTCATGAGAAAGAAACCAAAGAGAGCAGAGATGCAGTTGAGTCCGTTTGTCTGTCTTTGTGGATGCTGCAGGGACCCAGGCCTGTGGTCTGTGAGTCGCTGCAGCCTCCAGCTGCACAGGCTCCTCTGTCTGTCGCAGACCTGGAAAGTGTGCACTCCTGCCTTACTGGCGGCTCTCGTGCACCCCGGCAGTGCTGCTCACCCACAGGCTCCGAGGCGATCTTCTGCAGTGTGTAGAATCCCCCTGCATCCTCAAACTTGCCTGTGACCACCGTGTCCTTTCCCCTCATGCTAACTAGGGTCAGCCTTCTTCATCTCAGGCTTTCGGGTCTTCAGACACCATCTGTGAGGAAAGTAGATGCCCCCGCCTCTGCCCACAGCTGTGTTGGTGATAGTTCTTATAACCACTGTGTCTTTCTGTCTTCTCTTCTGTGAAATCTACACTAGCTATGATGCCACAGCCCACAGTCTCTTGACTGTTGCGGTTAGACCTAGTTGAGACTGGATCCATGGTCTCTAGTTCTTCCCGCGCTCTTCTTTCACTGTTCTTCTGACTTGGCTTATCTAAGGCCTGGATTCAGTAGTCTCTGTGGTAGCCACTTGTCTGCACATAGGCCTTGGAAGCTCTGTCAAGCCACCACCTGAGAATCCCCGGAGCCAGTACACTCTGCTCGCCCTCCAGGTTTCTCTGCTTCTGTGGAATCAGCTCTTTACTCTTTCCCTCCTTAGCCCTTTCCAGTTATGCTGTGCTTTGACGCCATCTGTGTCAGAACTTCCTTCCTCTATGCAGTCCACACTGGAAGCCATTTCAGTCTCCCTGTTCTCTTGGACCTCAACCGTAATCATCTCTGCAATTCTTGACAAAAGGCCAGCATCTCACGTTAGCCTCTCTGTCTCTACTGTTGGCTCCAGAATTGTTGGGCAAATGCGGTGAAGAGGGAAGGTAGACTAACATGGGGTGACAGGAGACTGGTATGGTTTCTATTCGTATCCACCCCTAGCTGAGTCCGAAGTATCGCTTAGCACCGGGGGTTAAGTTGACTTCATTACATGTTGTTCAACTCCAGGAAATTTGAGTTATTCTAGAAGGTACAGGAAACAGTTGTTTCAGAGACCTAACAGAGGACCTCTAGTCTCTTAACATGAATGATGCAACCATACGGTCATGCAACCAAGGCAGTAAAGGAAACCAGATTAATTGCAAAATTCAAATTGTCCAAAGAATGGGAAGCCATAAGCAACGTTTTCCCAGCAGTGAATGGTATGAAGAATTTGATAGGGGATGTTCACTTGATAGGGGAGATTCAAGAATACACAGGGCAATACCTTTGACCTTTGGCTTGATGGAAAGTGCAGAAAACTTCTCGTGGTTGTTTATTGAGCTTCCTTAAATCTGGTAGCTGGGAGTGTACTGCCAAGAGTTGGTCCAATAGAAATAGCCCCTACAATTTTGAAAAACAAATCTCTATCTATCTATCTATCTATCTATCTATCTATCTATCTATCTATCTATCATCTACCTATCATCTCTATCTATCATCTATCATCTACCTATCATATCTATCTTATCTATCTATCTATCTATCTATCTATCTATCTATCTTCATCATTATTGTCAATTACCTTTTTTCTGTTGATTTCATTGGAGCTTAGATATAAGTTTTCAATATTTGAAGAGTACGTCATGCCAGTTTCCCCTTCAGTCTCTCTTCCATTTTTCCTCCTTGACAAGTCACGCCTTCTGTCCTTTCTGATGTATGATGGTTAACCCCTCTTGTGGAGTCTTATACTATCCTTTGACAGCACTTTTCCTTGAGAGCACATGTTTTCTGCCCCACTGGTCAGTAAGGTACCTGGGGCAGGGACAGTGTTCTAGAGTGTCCTGCCTTTATGACACGTACTCAGGTGTTCTGGAGACTGCCGCCTGCTTCTGCCATGGGAACAGACATGGACACTGTGTGGTTGGCCTGTAAATGTCTGCGTGAAGAAGCTTGGGAGGTTTCTAAGCTGGCAAATGCTCCTGGGAAGTGGCAGCTTGCTTAAGTTTCCCATTTTACTTCCTATTGCAGGTGCGCAGTTGTGGAGAAGCCTCAGTGAAAGGTAGGGAATTTCTCCTCCAGCGGCGAATGGACGTCTGGGTGGTGGGGTGGGCAGGTGATGAGTGGTGGGGTGGTCAGGTGACTGAGCAGCTGATGTGGATCACTGAAGCCATGCTGTAGTGACAGGGACCTAAGTCTCTATAATGGTTTGTAAAAGTAGGGAACAATGACAGAAATTACAGTGACGCTAGAGATGAGGACAAGATGGGGAAGCCACTCTGGGGATAAATGCATCTCAGTGGTGGCCAGGCAGTGGGTTTGTGAGTCACTTGTGTGAGGAAACGGCAGGGAGGAGGGAGGGGTCTTTGTTCGATGTTTTCCCTCAGATTCGTGACAGGTGGTACAGTGGAAGAATGGGTAACCGTGAGGTACAGAAGTCCCTTGGGAAGTTCCAGAAGGACTGGTCGTGCCGTCAGTTTAGAGGGCTTGAGAGAGGAGGAGAGGAGAAGGAAGGACAAAAGCCTTCTATATGTGAAGCTACTTGGTGTCTGGCCCACTAGGGCTTCATCCGCTCCCTCATCTTGACCGTCATCTGCCCTAAGGGAGGTAGGTGCTTCCAGGTTAGGGCAGTGGTGAGAGGTCACTGTATGTATGAGAGATAAGAAAGACAGAGAAAGTTGAGGATTGTTGTCTGTGTCCTGCCACTCAGCTAGCTTAGCCCCGAAATAACCACACAGAAATTATATTAATTAAATTACTGCCTGGCCCATTATATCTAGCCTCTTCTTGGCCAACTCTCACATCTTTAACCCATTTCTATTAATCTGTGTTTACCACGAGGTCGTGGCTTACCGGGAAAGATTCAGCATGTCTGACCTTGCAGCTTCATGGCGGGTCTCTGTCCGCCTTCTTCCTCCCAGCATTCAGTTCTGTCCTCCCTGCCTACCTCAGTTCTGCCCTATCAAAAGGCCAAGGCAGTTTCTTTATTCAATTAATGAAAGCAAAACATAGACAGAAGAACCTCCTACACCAGAGGATTAATAGTTTTGTGAAGTTAGTGTTTGTAGGAACTTATTTATTTATTTTTTTAAAAGAACTGATTTGGCCACATATATTTGTGCCACCTAAAAAAGGATGGTTGGGGATACCTAATTTATGCCAGAGTGGACATCAGAAAATGAACACACAGAGAGAGGAACCAAATAGCTGCATCCATGAAATGCCCATGAAGGAACGTTGCTTCCACCTTCCTTTCCCATGCTTTGAGCATCCGGCCTAGCTGTGTTGCACTGCAGCTGATGAAGCACGGCAGTATTCCTCCTCCTCTCGGCCCACACTCTCCATAGGATTCCTGAGCCACTGATTGATGCTGTTTTCCAGTTCCAGGGCTCCACTCAGCAGCCTTACTACATCCACTGCCCTAGTCCTTAAGCCGCTCTCAGTGGTGACAGTTTTCTAGACTTCCCTCGTTCGTGTGGATGTAGAGCCATGAGGCATGCTGCGTAGGTGCATGGCGGCATTTATCACCACCCAGCATTTGCCTCAAGTGTTTCTCGTAAGGACAGGGCTTGGCGGTTCTGGGAGGTGGACCATCGAGAGAAAGGATAGGCAGGGCAGAACTGTAAACCATGAACTTTAAGGAAGGACAGAAAGCATGGTGTCCTCCGGAAGCCTGAATAATGAAGTGGCACGGACAGGGGTTTGTGCCATCTCATCACGTCAGCATGGTTTATGCCTGTTGATGTGACCGGGAGCCCTGGTCTACGCCTGTCCCCGAGGGAAGTTTCCTTTAGAGATGGAGTCTTTTGGGAAAGCCGGGTAGCCAGAAGGCTGCTGATGAGAACACAAGTCAGACAAGAGTGTTCTAGAAGCATTCACGTGACTCCAGGTCCATACCAGCTACATGCTGGGCCACCATAAGTGGATTATGCTTTCTATGTTTTCCATACATTAGGAAAAAGTACAGAGGCTTGCTTCCTAATTGTAGTGGCTGTAAGATTAGACCAAGGGACTCAAGCAAGCAAGCAAACAAGCAAGCACAGCCTTGTGCTCTTTGATGCAGAGTTCTGTCAGGGTCTCTGACACTTCTGTCAGTCGGCGTGTGTTGCTGTGCTTTGGAAAGCATCCATCAGAATTCCTGTGGCAGTTCACAGTAGCTAAGTTATGGTATCACCTTACGTTCAACCACAGAGAAATGGATTTGAAAGATGCGGTATATATACACAATATAGTTGTTCTCAGCCAATAAAAGACATACAGGAGAATGACATTACTTTGTTTTCAGAAAGACACAACTAGAACTGATCATAGTAGGTGAATTAAGCCAGTTTAAGAAGGACAGCTGTTGTATGTTGTCTTCCGTCTGTGGTTTCTAGATTTTATGCAGTTACATCAAATCATGTATGCATACATAAAACGGAAGTAGACAAGGAACTGTCTGGGGGAACAAAAGGGAGAAAGAGGAAGGAGGTGATGGCACAGCAGGGAATATGCTCAATGTACAATCTATACTTGCATGAACAAAATTTTAATATAATTAAATGAAACACTAAAAGAAAATTCACATGCCAGAAATTAAGCCCCTAAGAAAGAGTGGTTGTTCTGTGTTACTGTAGTGGTGGGCCCTAGTGGGAAGGGCCTACATCATGAGGGCTCCTTCTCGTAAGTGGAAGGACCCTGGTTATAGAGGGGATTGCCGCTGGGAGATGCAGCCCTTGCTGTATCTTACTGCATGTTGCTTCTGATCCAGCAAGGTCTGTACCACATATACCTCTGATCCTGACCTTCTGTGTTTCTTCACTGTGGTTTCCAGTGAAGCACACCCTTCGGGACTTTAGTGGTGGTAGTTTCTAATATTTCTGCCTCAGTTTGCTAGGTGATAAGTTGATATACATATTCAGTGGTTCTCAACACCTGGTCTTGGGTGTGTCTATGTCTTTTTTTAAAGTTTTTTTAAAATTCATTTTACATACCAACCACAGTTTCCCCTCCTCCCCATCTCCTGTTCCCTCTCCATCCCCCCCATCCACTCTTCAGAAAGGGTAAGGGCTCCCCATGGGGAGGCAACAGAGCCTGACACATCAAGTTGGGGCAAGACCAAGCCCCTTCCTCCTGCATTAAGGCTGAACATGAAATCCCACCATAGAGAATGGACTCCAAAAAGCCAGCTCAGGCACCAGGGATAGATTCTGGTTCCATTGCCAGGGGCCCCGCAAACAGACCAAGTCACACGACTGACATTCACATGCAAGGGCTTAGTTCAGTCCCATGCGGGATCCACAGCTGTCGGTTTAGAGTCCGTGAGTCCTATCTTCATCCAGTTGGTGAAGATGGCATCTGTATGCCTGTCTTTAACAGTGAAAATAAAATTAAAGAAGAAAACAACTTACAGATTAACATACATGATGGCAAGCAGATCATTGGAGGTAGAGGGGGAGGCACTCTGTGCTCACGGAACTCAGGAGGGTTAGGATCTTTTGCATTTTTTTTTTTATTCCGAGTTCATGGGTATTAACTCTAACCCTCCTTCTTGGCAGTGGCTAGTCATTGTCCCCCACTGCCCTTTGTGCAATAGCTGAGATACTCGGGTTCCTCAATAAGGCTTAGTTTCCAGTGTCTGCTTTCAGTTTGGGCCTGAGCTCAGCGTAAGCCTGGCTTCCGTCTGTGAGGCTTTCTTCAGCATCCCTCATGAAGCTGGTGATACATGGGGACACATAAGCATGCGCACAGACTTCAGACGTTTAAGCACTCTGTAGACTCTGCAAGTGTTTGCACCGTGGCAGCTCATCATGACAAAGCCAGCCTCTGATTTCTAGCAGCAGCAATGGTAATTGGGCCTTTTGCTCAGATGCCTTCTTGAGTCAGTGTTAGTACCCAGAGCAGCCATTTGTGCAGACGTGACTCTAGTGAGCATGCTCTGACAGCGGCTCACCCCTCACCTGTTTGCTCCCCAACAGGAGCTTCACAAACTGTGTGCGGAGTTTGTGCAGTGGTTGCTCTCAGCTGAACTGAATTAGCAACCTTTGTGACTCCATCCTTGTATTAGGTTGAGACCCACTCTTGAGTCTCTGAGTACCTTTTCATTTCTACAGAACCATGGCTGTTCGTTTAACCAAATCCTCTGTTAATAGATGATAATGCCTACATTCTGCCTTTTTCTTCCATGCTCCCCTTCTTTTAAAAATAAGTTTGCCCCAGGTTGTGGTGGTGGCGCGTGCCTTTAATCCCAGCCCTCCGGAAGCAGAGGCAGGCGGATCTCTGTGAGTTCAAGGCCAGCCTGATCTACAGAGCTAGTTCCAGGACAGCTAAAGCTGCGTGGAGAAACCCTGCCTTGAAAAACTAAAACAAAAAAAGGAGAATTTACCTTCTGTTTAGCCAGTTTTTCTCAGTAGATATGTTAAGAAGAGGTCTCTTTACTTAAATTGTTGCCATTCCAATAGTTTTACCCAGTTCTTCAGGAGTTTGTTCATATAACCCAAATTAAAGGGCTAGGTTTTCTTCACCATTAAGTTATTATATTGTTGAGAATCAATTTATTTTAGGTTTATTTCATTAGTATTAAAAAAATATGTAGAAATTGAGACTGAGCTAGCAATGGAGGATTTCTGGCAGACCTGGACATCCAGAAGCTTCTAGCAAGGAGCTGTCAGTAGGAGGCAGTGGTGGCCCTTGGTTTCAGCTGTGACTGGGCCTTGCACCAACCTGACTCACCATGAGGCAGAGTATAGGCCATCTTAGCCAGCTGGGCTAAGCAGGAGTCCTGGGGTTTTGCCAGTGTAGCCAAATCACAGGTTCTCCTTGTTCTGTCTCTCACATGCTTTCTCTTTCCCTTGCACACTGAGAGGAGCGACGTGGTCACCGGCGTTTGGCATCGTCCTGAAATGCTCTTTTGTTCCCAGGGCTTCCAGATAATTGCCACAAAAATTGCTCTTGCTGTGCATTTTGAGGGACAGGGAAAGAATCTTTGACCATAAGTCCAAGTTTTGGTGTCCACCCAGTTCACAGGCCTGGAATGAGCCAGAGCATTTATGGTAGATAGTAAGGACATAATTTCTCTTAAAA